TATTGTAAAGAGTGCTGCAATGAACAAACAATTGCAGATGTCACTTCGACTATACCTTTTTGCCTCTCTGGGATATATTCCCAGGAGTGTTATTGCTGGGTCTTAGCAGTAACTTTAAGGCATAACAGTTTACACTAACAGAAACTTTCTCTTTCTCTCGACTGCTGAGTTGGGAGACCATGAAAGGGAAGACTATAATTCCACTTTATTATTTGGGGGGAATTTTGGGGTCACACCCAGGAGTGCTTGGTTGTTACTCCTACCTCTGTGCTCAGGGTTCACTCCTGGTAGTGTTTGGGGGACCATATGTGGTGCCAGGGTTGAACTGGGATAGCAACGTATAAGAAAAACAACTTACTCCCTATGACTGGGGTAAGCTTACTGACATAAGCTTACTAACAAATTCAAAGTGCCAGGGAAGTCAAAGCAGTAACCTAGCAAATTACCAGATATAGTTTTGCCTGCTCAAAGAGCCAACTAATAAACAAAAACTCCTCTACTTGTCGAAGCTGCCAACACTAGTGATATCTGCCAGAGGAGCACCAATGCATGGCTGAGAGTGGAAAAAGTCAGGGCAGACTTGTTTACTGAATAATTTGGACCCTGGCTCTGTACCTAGTTCTAGCTTCAGCAATATCATTGTTATCTACAATAACAGCTTCAATTAATCTCTTCTCTGATGACTTTCCCTTCTATTCCTTCCTAATAATGCACTCCCCAGCCCATAGCAATGGTCTCCAAACTGCTCTTAATTTTCATTACTTAGATATGTTATACCCCTAAAATCTTCAACTTCAAAGACTTATCCTTACTCTAACCATAATTTTCTTCAATTCCAGTGCACTATTAACTCGCTTACTTCATTTATTTCTCATCTTGTACTTAATTTTTATTTCCACCCCAGAAATACTAACCTTTCTCCCAAGAAGCTGATGAGCTTCTCTTAATTTTTTTCCTCAAAATTCTCTCTAGCCCACCAGAGAGAAAGTACAGGAGCTAAAGCATGCCCCTTGCATCCAGCAACCCTGGGAGCAACCCCATGTGGTTCCCTGAGCACCACCAGGAGTCATGTCTGTGCCCAACCTCCCACCTCACCTCCAAAGCACCCCTGAAAAGGAGATTTAGTCTAGACAACATAACTCATCTATTTTAAATTATGGTCATTAATTCTATTTTGGTTGTAGTAGTTTTGTGATCAATTTTACTATCTAGTAAAGGAAATCTCCTTTTGCTTATCAAAGTTCCATTTTCACACATATTCTTATGCATGTTAAAACCATCTTATAGAAACATTAGGAACACTATGCAAATGACTTGCTGTAATTTAATGTGGAAATTAAGATGAAGATTGCATTGCAACTAAGGATAGTCTAAACAATATTAGTAGCAAACTGATCAGTCAAATGAAATAAAACCAAGTCAGACTCATGGGAGAAGAGGAGCTCACACGCAATGTTCTGGGAACTGGGGATGATGCTGCTTAGGTCCAGAGGCCTAGGGACCACCGCACAGAGCTTCAGCCAGTGGTACTGTGGACCAGGTGCTACTTTAACCTGTGAATGGAAGGTATGCTCTCTAATGCTTTGAGCTAGCTCCTGGCCTTTGAAGTATCCTTAGTACCATATATGAAACTCAACAATATGTCAAAGAGCCAACTTTTTAAAACACTAAACTTTTAGAATGGAACTCACAATATTATTTGGATAAACTTGGAACTAAAACACCTTTAAAAAATAATTTGGGAGGTTCCTCCCAAGAAATATTCAGAAACCTGGGGGCCATTCCCAGTGATCTGTGGCCAGCTCAGATGAGTAGTTCAGTACTTGGCAATGATGCAGCACTGTTCAGACCTGTGTTTCTGGGGGCCACTAAGGCTACAGACAGTGGTGATCCCAGGTCTTGTGTCCCAAGGATGGAACTTGGGTCCTTGAACAGACAGGGCATGTGCCCCGATCCCTGAGCTATTTCCCTGGCCCTAGAAAAACTTCTGAAGATGAAAATGATTTTTAAGGGGGTATGGTGCCGCCAGCAGGTCAATCTGTACCTGTGAGGTGAGCACATCAGCACTTCAGACTTCCAGATACCCCAAAATTGCTGCTGGGCCTTTGGCCAGACCGCAAAAACTTGGGGCAAAGTTTACCAAGAAAGTAAACGGCCAAAAGTTAGGTATGTGGGAGACACACCCACAAACCACCTCCGGCTCAGCTATATAATTGGAGGCATGGCCTCTCTGGTTCCTGATCAAACTGCTTAACGGCCATGATCCCTGAGACTCAGCAACAAATCTCAAAACCCAGCGGCTTTTGGCAGAAATGCATTTGGACTGCACAATAGGTTGCTGTCGCCGGGCCACCCCATGAGGAAAGGGTGCTGTCCCTCTGCCTGCTCACCCTTGGCAACCTGATGGCTGCCATCCTCCAGAAGCCACTAGACAGTCAGGTTTGGACCCACAGGGACGAGACATGCGGGACCTCATGGGATGGAAGTGGAGCCGGCCCTTTCCTCCCTGTTCCAAGGAGACAGCGAGTCTCTGCCCACAAATGGCCTCTCTGGCTCCTGATCAAGCTGCTTAATGGCCATGATCCCAGAGACTCAGGAACAAATCTCGGAACCCAGCAGGCTTTGGCAAGAAATCCCTCCAGATTTAATTGTTGAAATTTCAGAATTTCAAAATCGTCTGGCCACTACTGCAGCCACGCGGCATCATATGTTATTCATAACCAGTAGTAAAAAAAAAATTGTCTACTGTTACCTTTTCAGCAGATCTGAGTGTTGGGGTAAAATCCTAAATAATAATGGTGGGTGTGGTGTTGAAATGTTGAGTGTAATCAAAGTATAGAGTAATTTGGAAATCATCTGCCCCACAGGTAGGAGGAGGGTGTGGGATGGGGGTATACTGGGGATTTTGGTGGTGGATAGTGGGCACTGGTGAAGGTACGGGTGTTTCATTGTATGACCAAGACTTAACCCGAGAGCTTTGTAACTGCTCTCATAGTGATTCAATAAATACAATTATAAAAAAAATGGAAAGAAATAAAGCAAGGCAAAGTTCATGCACAATTCAATCAGCCTAATCAGTGGCTGAATAAATAGCAGTACTCCTATATTAAAAAAATTATTTTTAAAAAGAAATTAGAAATAAAATTGACTTGTATAGCATTTTATAAACATAAAGCCCAATGCTATCATTTTGACTTAATAAAGTGGTATACTTACAACCAAGTAAAATTATATTTTGATAAATATTAAAGCTCTAGAGCAATACAAGAATGACTTATTAGTTACATAAAGTACCAATTGAATTTTAATTTTTCTAGCTAAATGGGGCTGGAGCAATAGCACAGCAGGTAGGGCGTTTGCCTTGCATGCAGCTGACCCGGATGACCCAAGTTTGATCCCTCTGCCCCTCTCGGAGAGGCTGGCAAGCTACTGAGAGTATTTCGCCCTCACTGCAAAGCCTGGCAAGCTACCCATGACATATTCGATATGCCAAACACAGTAACAACAAGTCTCACAATGGAGACGTTACTGGGCCCACTCTAGCAAATCGATGAACAACAGGAGGACAGTCCTACAGTGCAGGCTAAATGATCTGAAAAACTAGATTCCCATGTGAGTTGAAAAAATATACTCATCACTATAAATTCTATAAGTAAAATTTAAAGGAATATTTGACTAACTATAACACACTCGTTAAATTTAGAATATACAAGATATAAGTTTTATATTCCTTTCCTAGTCTTGATTTCATTGTCTTGATTTCAATGTGTTTTCTTTTTTTTTTAAATATTTTTATTAGTGAGACATCATGAGGTACAGTTGCAGACTTACAAATTTTTGTGCTTGGATTTCAATTATACAATGATCAAATACCCATCCCTCCACCAGTGCCCATTTCCCACCACCACGGATCCCAGTATCCCTCCCATCCCCCATCCCCCCCACCCCACCCTGCCTCTGTGGCAGGGCATTCCCTTTTATTCTCTCTCTCTTATTGGGTGTTGTGGTTTGCAAAAGAGGCAATGGGTGACAATCATGTTTGGTCTATAGTGTACTTTCAGCATGCTTCTCCCATCCTGGGAGGATCCTCCCAACACCCTTTATTTGGTGCTCCCTTCTCTATCTGAGCTCCCTTTCCCCCTAGCATGTGTGGTTGGCCTCCAAGCCACGGAGTAAAATTCCTGGTACTAATCTTGTTTCTCAATGCGTTTTCTTTTGAGAAAAAGAAATATGGGAAGTCTCAATAGTCATACAAATTTGATTATTAACTTGTTCCATGCATTTTGTGACATAGTGTCATAAAAAAGAGGTCACAAGCCACTGTAATAACATTTAAACATTACAAAACAAAACAAAAGTAATTACTAAATTTTATACAAACTTGTTTAAAACTGCTAACTAAGGAAAGAAGTTTCATCCTGGCTGCAGGACACAATAAAAATCAAGACAGGCAGAATTCCTTTCCTCTGAAAGCTTACACTCTAGTGAATGAATGGAGCTTACATTCTAGGGAAAGAAAGAGGAAGCAGCTAATTCCTGATAGGTTACTGTAAGTGTGAAGAGGAAAGTGCTGAATGCTGAAACACCATAGTGGCCTCTGCTCTAGTGTCATCTCCAGGAAAGAGTGTAAGGCAGGGTGAGAAAAAAGGGCAGGAAAGTGGTGTGGGGGAAAAAACAACTGCTTTTAGGAAAAAGGAACTGAGGCACAAAGCGACTGAACTGAAAGGTTAGTGGTTACTGATGGGGTGAAACAGGCCAGGTGGGCAGAGTGCATGAGGGGCAGTACCAAGTAACCCAGATGTTTTCCTATAAAAAAGAGGAAATCACTGGTGTAAAGTTAGAGATCATTTTGTATTTTCGATATTTCCATCTTAACTTTTAAATGTAAACTTCCAATTTAAGTACGTCTCCTTAAGAAAATTATTTCTAAATAATTATGTTAAATAGTTCTCGATTTCTGCTCCAAGTACAATTCTCCAAAGACACCCCCATTTGCATACCCTGTGTCCTCTGGAAATGCAGAAATGGTGCCTCCATCAGTCTGACAGGGTTCCTGAGAAGATGAGTCAGAATCTTTTCTATCTTGATTTGTAGCAATAGTGATTATTCGCTGCTGTTGCAAGTCCCACTTTCGAGCTATGTTGTTTATTGTTAACCTTTTCTTCTCCTATGAAAGTTAATTGTGACAAAAATTACATAATGAGACTTCAGTCGCGGCACTGTTCAAAATCACATAGCTTCTATTATTTGGCATACTTTTAAAAGGAAGTTATTCCCTAAAAAAAGTCACCAGATATACATCTTATAACAATGTATAAGTGTTTTTATTTTCTGTTCATTTACACATCTCAAAAGTGGTGTATACTCCTTAATACACAATCACTCCTATTAAAAATATGAAAATTCACAATCTGAAAGTTTCATTTGATAAACATTTGTATAGCCATGAGTTATCTAAAAGTTTTATTTGGCCAATATTCCCATTTTAGTATATTTAAACACAGTACTAATCTTTATTTTCTTACCCAAGAATTGTGAGTAATATGGTGGAATAACCTTGGTGCAGAGAAAGGAGGAGCGGAGATAACAAGAGGGGACTTATAAATATGCCAAGTTCTAGGCATAAATTGCAATGTCTGGAAATAAGATGGGCTGCTAAAGAAAAAAAAAAAGCTGGCTTCACTACCCTCTCCATTATCTTCTTGATTTCTACCCTAGTTTTATTATTTCCCTCTTCTATTTACTTTGGGGCTTATTTGGTTTTTTTTCAGGCTGTGAGACAGATTGCTTATATGAGTTTTATTGCCTGATATAAGCCTGAATCACTATTAACTTCCTCTTCAGTACTGCTTTTGCTGTGTCCAACAAGTTCTGATAATTTGTGTCTTCAGTTTCATTTGAGTACTTTTATTTATTTTTTGATTTACTTTTTGATTCAAAGGTTATTTAAAAGTATATTGTTAAGATGCCAAATGAGAGATTGGCTTTATTTCCTAGATTTATTTTTACAATTAATTTCTATCCTCATGGCATTATATCTGAAAGGAAAATAGTGGATAGGGTTTCTATCATTGTGACTTTCTGTATACTTGCACTGTGCCCCAGCGTGTGGTCTATGTGTAAGGATGCTCCATGTGCACTAGAAAACACTGTGGTTTTGAGTTTTTTTGTTTGTTTTTTAATGGAGGACTGCAGGGATCTATACATGTTGATTAATCATCCCAGTTCCTCCAATTTCTTTTTTAAGGGTCTTGTTTTCTTGGTGATGTTGTGTTGGGTGATCTGTCAATGAGGAGAGTGGGGTGTTAAAATTTTTCCACTACTATTGTATTGCTATCAATGTATTTTCTCAAGTTTATTAGCAACTGCTTTATAAACTTTGCTTACCTTCTTTTGTTGTGTATTTATTGGTAAGATTATAATCCTCCAGGGGTTAGTTAAAACAGCAAATAAGGCACTTGCCTTGTATCTGTGCAGTCAACCCTACTTTGATCCCTAGCACTGCATATGGCCTCCCCAGTCCCACCAGGAGTGACCCCTAAGCATAGAGCCAGGAGTGAGCCTTGAGAACAACTGTGTGTGGCCCAAACCTTTCCCTGACAAGAAATATATACATATGTGTATATATATATGGGAAAAGAGTATAATACTCTTCATCTATTAGTCCCGTAACCAGTATGTAATGTCTGTCCCTATGTTTTATTACCTTCTTTAGTTTCAAAATTATTTTGTCTTATACAGGCATGATCATCCCTTCTTTATTAAGTCTAAAAGTAGTCTGCATGATCATTTTCTACCCATTCATTCTAAGCCTGTTTTTATTGTGAGAGTGTAAGTGTGTGTCTCCCTAGCAGCAAAAAATTGCCTTTTTGTTTTCTGTCTTCTGATAGACTCTGCAACTCCCTTTTGGTGGGAGAGTTCATCCCATTAAAATTTAGTGAAATTATGGATGAAATTTGCTGACACTTATTGGGACTTTGGTTTCTTTTGCCATTTGGACTTAGCTTTTTATATGAAGTCATCTACTATCCCTAGCAGAGTTGATGTAGATGCAAAAAATGCCCTCAAACTATTCTTTTTCTAAGAATATTTTTATCATTCCTTCATATCTGAGGGATAACTTTGCAAGAGGATTCTTGATCCTATATTCTTTTCACTCAGTACTTTGAATATATCATTGTATTTCTCTTCTTGCTTGTAGAGTTTCATTTGAGAAATTCGAAGTTAATCTTATGATTTTCTACTTATATATGAGGCCTTGCTTCTTGTTTGCTCCTTTAAGGAGTTTCTGGTTCTGGTTCTTGACATTCTTATTCCAATGTGTCGTGGTGTTCTGTTTGTTTAGTTGTGTCCTGCTCTCTGGCCTCCTGAGCAATGCACGTCTCCCTCTTCAAATCCAGGACTTTCCCATCTATTAATTCTTTAACCAGCCTTTCTTCCCTTTCCCACTTTGGTCCCCTTCTGGGATTCCCAGAATGCTGAGATGTTTCCTTCTGATACTGTCAACATCATTTCTAAAATTCTCTTTTTTATTTTTTCATCTTACCACTTCTTTATTGATGGATCTGAGATACTCATCTTTCAGGTCACTGATACTGTCAGCTTCATCCTTTTTGCTGCTGAGACATATTACTGTGAGCTTTTACTTCTTTACTGCTACTTGAATGAGGTCATTAATTATTTTTCCACTGCACTCTTATTCATGGATCCTCTCTTCAGTTTTTATCCAGATCATTAAGCATCAAGAGGATAGTTGTCTTCTTTGGGCAGATCAAAAAGTTCTGATGGAGTTGAGGATCTTTCTGGACTTCTGTCATCATCCACTGATGTGATTGCGTTCCTTTGTTTTTCATTGTTTCTGGTACCATGTCATCTGCAGGGTGGGGCTCAGGTCACTAATAACTCTGGGGGCCTCCCTCCCCTTCATTGTAGTTCAGCTCTCTATCTAGTTGTGGTACTGTAGAGACCCCTTTTGTTGCAGCTGCAGGGTAGGGCACTGGCTGCTCTGGGAGTCTGGGAGCATCACCTGCCTGCAAACAGAGGAGGATGAAGGTAGGCTTCTGTTGCATTCCTTCACTGGTCTGGTAGCCCACAGGGGTTTGGAATGCTTGGTGGCAGTGAGAGAAGTAATTGGCCAAGAGTCGGTGGGTGGGACAAGCCTTGTTCACAGTTCCTTGCTGTTTGTCTAGCAACACGCAGGGATCTTGGCTCCAGTGTCAGGGAAAGCTGCTCCTGGCTGAGGAGGGTTGGCAGGGCAGGGGCAGGCATTGGCCAGCATTCCATGTCACTGGTTTCTGACAGCCTGCAGGGATTTGGGCTCTTCTTATGAGTCTTTTTTTAATATTCTTAAAGTCTTTCTAGTTGGATGATTTGCTTGAATTTTTTTTTAGTTGTATAACTTTTTACTCTTCTTAAAAAAAAAAAAAAACACCTGGCATTTTTTCCTGTTTTTTTTCTTTTTGGGTGACACCCAGCGATACACCTGGGCTACTCCTGGCTCTGCACTCAGGAATTACTCCTGGAGGTGCTCGAGGGACCATATGGGATGCTGGGAATCGAACCCAGATCGGCCTGCGCCCTACCCGCTGTGCTATCGCTCCAGCCCCCATTTCTTCAGTTCTTTTCAAAGGCAAAGGCAATATTCTCAGTTGAAAAATCCTCCTAAGAATGTGATTACCTTATGCCATTTTCTTATATTTTCTGTGAGAAGTTCAGTGGGTTTTCTTATAAGAATTCCTACATATGTAATTCATTTTTCTCTAGATATCTATAGTTTTGTTATTAGATTTTTAACACTCTAAACATATTTTGTTACATATCTGCATTAACTTTGTTTAGACCAGTTTGAACTACTTTTATGTTGAATTCCTTCCCAAAGTTAGATAAAGTATCAAATATTATTTCTTCAAATACTGTCTCTTTCTCTATGCTCCTTCTGGAACCCCTATGATACACCATTTTCACATTTACAACTCTTTTTTTCCCATTTCCTTTTATTGTCAGATGTTTTAGGCTCCCATACTTTCCAGCTCATCAACTCTATAACTGTTTTCCTACTAACTGTTAAGTGTCTGATATATTCTTTAGCTCAGTATTGTCTGTTGTTCAAAGTTTCATAAGTTTCTCTGTCTTTCTGTTATAAATCTTCTGTCCTTTCTCTGTTATAAATCTCCTCTTGTCTGTGAATTATTATTCTTATTTCATCTACATAACTGTTGTCTGAAGACAACTTTAGACAAGTTAACCAGGTCCATTACATGTGCACTTTTCCCAAGGTGTTTATTTCACTCTAATATTTGTAGCAAACCCCTTTCTCCTCATTTATTGCTTGTTTATTAAACTTACATGTGTTGAGTTGCACAGCTCTTCCCTTAGTTTGCTGTGTAGACCTAAACAGATTTATAGGCTACAGGATATAACCCAGATTATTTCAGCGGGACACCGTTACCTGTTGCTTTACACATGGACACTTCTGCATCTGTTTAGACGGCTGAGATCTAGTTCCAACACAGACTGAAACTGAGACAATGAAAAGCAGAAAGGTTGCTACTGTAGTGGCAGGATTCAGGCCCCCCAAGTGGCTGCTGGAGCCATGCGGAGGGGGAGTGAGCAGAGACCCTGCACCACCCTCTCCTAAACACATGTTCCGTCTGTGCTTTCCCAGTGACTTCAAGTTATCAAGCTCAGTTCTAGTCCTGGCCTGTAGGTTTCATGGCTCAAATCTTTCATGGCAGTACAGAGACCGGGGGAGCAGACTAGAGCTGCAGTTTTAATAGCACTCCGATGGATCCGGGAGGGTGATTCTCAAGGTACAAAGGAGCCCTCAGTGGAAAGGGAAAAAGCTCCCTTACAAGCCATTTTCCACTCTGGTGCTTTAGGTTGTGATAGGGGCTTTGTCTAACAAGAGGCACAATCCCAGTGGGGCCTCAGTCATGGTACAGCAGCTGATTGCACAGCAGAGTACCAGAGAGGCTAGTCATCTAGTAAGGGTGGTCAGTACCAGCATGCTCCATCGCCCATTGCTAAGCTTCAGCTTCCTGTGCCCCAAAATCACAAGTTTGAATTTTTGGTCCCACCCTGGAGGCCTCCAGAACCCCCTGGTAGCTTCGGCATCCTCAGCAGTGAAAGTGTGGATTGTAGCACAGCGGGTAGGGCGTTCGCCTTACACGCGGCCAACATGGCCGACCCGAGTTCGATTCCTCCGCCCCTCTCGGAGAGCCCGGCAAGCTACCGAGAGTATCTCGCCCACACGGCAGAGCCTGGCAAGCTCCCCGTGACGTATTCGATATGCCAGACACAGTAACAATTGTCACAATAGATATGCTACTGGGCCTGCTCAAGCAAATCCAACAGAAGGACAGTGACAGTGACAGAGATGTCAATTATAACTCAGCTCAAGAAAAAAAAAACCCTACATAACAGAGCTTAAAATATGTAAATTAAGATGGTAATTGATCACAGAGAGTATACATGTCATGAGGATGTGCATATACAAGCTAATGTACCAATTAAAAAAAATAAACTTTTTAACAAAGTTCTTTTCTTGGTGGTGGGGGGACGGGGGGCGGTGGTGGGCATACCCAGCAGTGTTTTGGGATTATTCCTAGCTCTGTACTCAGTGATCACTCCTGGTGGGGCTTGGGGTATCATATGGGGTGCCAGAAATCAAAACTTAGTCAGCCACTTGCAATGCAAACACCCTACTAGTTGTACTATCACTGACTCTAAAATTAAGGACCAGATATGCTTATTTTTGTCTTTTTTGTTTTAAATTCCAGAAGTATACTTTTATTTAAAGATAACAGCATCAAAAGAACTACAATTTACTGATCGGACTGAATACTTTCCAAAGTTTGAAGATCACTTTTCTAGCTTCAGCAAACATACAGATAAAAGTACCTTAAGCAAGGATTGCTTATGACTCTCCCGCTTTTTCTCTTCCTCCTTTTTGGCTACAACAGATGCCATACGCCTTTCTTCTTCCTAAAATAAATTTAGAAAAAAAAACATGTTATTATTTAACCTTTGGGTGGGGGGTTGGCCTGCACCCTCAGTGCTGGAGGCTACTCCTTGTTCGCTGCTTGGGGTCACTCAGGGATTGAACCAGGGTCAGCTACGTACAAGACATATGCCTTAATCCCCGTACTCTCTCTCTGGCCCTATTTAACCTTCTATGTTAAGTATCACTCATTCTAGTTCTCTGGTTTACTTTGTAATACACATACTACTTGCAAATAGAAAATACTACTTTGAAATAGAAAATAGAATCTCAAAAAAATATGTTCTTGGGGCCAGAAATTCAATTATTCAAGCTCATGACTCTGGGGTACAGGAGGCTGAAGGCTTAGCAATGGGCAACTGAACATGCTGGGAACTGAGTATCCTTAGACTATAACTATAACCTGGCACACGGCCAACCCAGGTTCATATCTGATCCCTGGCATCCCATATGTTGCCCTGAACATTCCAGGAGTCCAGAGTTAGGGGTAACCCCTGAGTACTGCCAGGTGTGGCCCAAAACCTAACGCTAGCACTGCAGCACTGTCCTCCCATTGTTCATCGATTTGCTCAAGCAGGCACCAGTAACGTCTCCATTGTGAGACTTGTTGTTATTGTTTTTGGCATATCAAATATGCTACAGGGAGGCAGGACACTCTCACTAGCTTGCCAGGCTCTCCGAGCGGGACAGAGGAACTGAACTGGGGTCGGCTGCATGCAAGGCAAAAGCCCTACCTGCTGTGCTATTGCTCACCATCCAGTTAAAAAAATTAAATTAGCTTTAGCTGTATAGCTGTATTTAAAATTTTAGAATTCCTGGAGTGCATGGCTACACTTGTGGCTGTGCAAAAACTAAAACTAAATAAAAGCATGTTTTTCTTTCCTTCCTGATTCTATAAAAATGGTACATTTTAAAATTCTACATATGCTGGGAGTAAGGTGAACTTAAGTAAATCAAGAAACAAACAAAAAATAAAACAAGAAAAAAAAAGGGGGGGGGGGAGGCAGATTTTATCATTTACTCCAAGCAACTGAATGCCACACAGAAATACTTTTAAAATTTTCTATTTAACTAACAAACTTTTGAAGAGAAAATGGATTTAAATGATACTTAGAACAATTTTCATTTGCTAAATGATGCAATGAGAGTGAAAAAAATTAAAATCTCTGTATATATTAATCAGCAATTCTCCATTAATATCATCATTTCTACAGTTTTTAAGTCAATTTGGCCAATATAGTTTCTTAAATTTTTAAAGCTCTGATAATGCTACAGTTTAGAAAATTTTTTTTAATCATTAATAATCCTTATACCCCAAATCAAAACTTATCATTTTTGTATCTCCATGCAATACTCATTATGAGCAAATATTATTTTATGACACAACTATATGTGCAATTTGGAACATTATTTCCCTTGAAGACTGCCAAATTTTGTGGAGTAAATTATAATTAGGTAATTGAAAATTTTATTAACAAAAGCTTTGTAAGCATCCAAACTGATGTGACAATTTTAAAATCAACTTCTTCATGAAAAATAAGCTTAAAATCGTTTCTGAAATAGGAAACTTGAAAATATGACTTCGCATGTGTGGAGAACCTGAAATGACCAAAAAATCCCCCTGAAATTGAAAATTCAACAGAGGGGGTACGAACAGCAGATTATACATAGCTGAGGAGATTTTCCCAGATGCCCTCCTAGTGCTGTATACCACTCACCACAGCATCTAATTAATTTCACTTTATTCTTCTCTGGCTCCATCTTTTCCCTCTTCAGCCCCAAATAGCTGCATGAAAATATGTAACTACATGAGCTCCACACACATAGTGAATTACTTTTTCAGTAAATATTTAAATAATAAATCATAAATATATGTTTATCTATTTAACATTTTTAGAAAGGTGGAATTACAAAATCAAATGATAGGCTTAGACCTTTGATATGACTGTCAAGATCCCTCAACAAATTTAGTGCTAGAAGTCAACACTTAATTTGAAACACGTTGGCTCCTCTGAGGGGCTTTTGACTAAATACTTCTGTGTCTTCCCACATCCAGCTCACCAAGTGAGGCAACACTTTTGCTCCCTTGAAGTTAGGTGCTGGGCCAAGGACATATGCACAAAAGTTTACATGTTTACAACTGGGTAGAAGCTTTCAAAGACAGATATGATACAGCTCTTCAGCTATTCTCTCTCAACTCTGCTATCGAATCTACAAAACTCCAGCGTATACATTTTGAATGCCTGGGTGTTGAAATGAAGATCATTTGAGTGAAATACCCAGATCATATGAAATAAAGAGTTTTCACAACATAATCTGGCCTATTTGATCCATATAAATGCTGTATTTATATGAATTATATACTTATGAATCAGTATATATGCTATTTATATGAGTTAAGTATATATGAATCAGTATATATGCTGTGTCTATATAAATTAAGGAAAGTCAAAGATGTTATAAAAATGTACTGTAGGGGGTGAGCTATTATCAATGCTTCAGAAAAAAATAAAAGACCTGACCCCATATCTAATTTATTGTGAGAATCAAACCCAGCAGTGCTGGCTGGGGTGGGAGGTTCTTCTTCAGGAGGTTTCAGAGATCACCAGTGTGATTCCTGGCTGCATCAGGGGGCTCTGTGGTGCCCAGGATCAAACTCAGGGCTTCATACATGCAAATTATGCTCTAGTACCTGAGCTACTTGCCTAGCTCCAAGACCTATTTTTTAATGCACGAAGAGAAACCATCACCAAGTTTAAAAGGAACTACAGGATTCCAACTTGTTTTAGATCAATTCCGATTTATTTAGAAATAAATAAATGAATTCTCTGAGAAGTTTCGTCATTGTTCAAGGTCACAGAGCTGGGGACAAAGCCAGGATCAGGATCAGAAGACACTTCTTGTGAGAATTTGCAACAGTTTTTCATAATAAGGCTCTGTTTAAATGCATTTAACCGAGTTCAGAGAGATCAAAAGGTGAGGTAAAAAGTCAATAATAAACTGCCACATAATTTAATTGTTGAAAGGAATGTGGTTTTTTAAATATAAATTTTGATAATTTTTAAATATAAATTTAAAGTGTCTTTAGAGTATAAGAAATAGTTATTCTTAATATTTCAAGACTGAATTAAAGTAACAAGAAGAAATAAACTAAGAAAATTCAGAATGTTGACTCTTAGACTCTTAAAGTAGGAGATTAAATTCTTTTGTTCAGTAAATACTGATTTGATACTGAGTGAAATACATTTCAGAAGTTAAATAAAAAAATACATTGGTGTTCAATTGTTCACTCATCTATGAAATGTGAACCAGAAACAGACTGGTTATTCAAGTAGCCAATTTCAAATAGTACTGGAAAGTGTATGGATCACGTCCTACACATGCTTACAAGATGATTTCATCATACATTCAGGGAGAATTTGAGCTTCTATTAAAGGCAGCAGAATTTTAAAAGGAACACTAACCTAGAAAACTGAACGTATGCCAAGTCAATTCAAATGTTGAGTATTTTAAGGAATCTATTCACTGATGATTTTATTTCGGCCCCAATCAATATAGGATAAATAAACGCTAAACAAAAGTAAACCTCTACTGGCAAAGATTAGCTACAAATCTGTTGGTGAAAAGGAAAAAACTAGAAAATTCTGGCATCTTCATGATAGCAATTTCTGGGAAAAAAGCCACATCTCCTTTATGTAATAAAGAAAGGGACCTAGAAAATAAATTTTCCCTTATTTTAGTCTGTCATTAATACCCAATACATATTAAGAAGTGGATTAATTTAGTAGGTATTTCATAACCTACATTATCTTATGTTAGCAGATCATTAAGGCTCTAAAACAATGCCTATATTATATAAGAAGAGATTTTGCTCCAAAACAAATAATGGTACAAAGAGAGGCAACAATTTATTAAGAGAACTTTTAAAAATAAATGACAATGTGGGTTTTAAAACCCATTATTGGGGCGGTTATGAAAAGCAGTTTTCCTTTACTACATTAAATACTTAAGATTTTTAAATGACAATCTGTTTAGAAAAACAGTCCATATTTTTTCACTCAATCTTATTTTACAGAGAATATTTTAGAAACTGTCTATTTCAAAAACAGCATAGTGCCTGCATTTACAAAATATATTTTAAAAATAAAAGAGAGAAAATTGTCTCTCAGAATTATGTATACAACGGTCTTTGTTCTACCCCTCCCAAAGTGTGTTTTCTCCCAAACCCTCTCTAGCTGTAACAGTATTTGAAGACTATTGTACTGCCATCCTTGTATTTTCTCCTGTCAGTTAATCATGCCAGGATCTCTACAGACACAATTTGTCATCACTCTTTTAAAACTAATAATTCAGATGTAGTCTGACAAAGGATAAAAGGAAATGGGCATTGTCCCCATTTTTCTAAATTCACTATTTCTATAAACATTGTTCTAAATCATATAAACATCTAACAATTACATTATCATAAAATGAACATAGCACTTTCAATGTAAGTCTTTTTCATGCATGATACTGTCTCATAACATGTGTCTCATAACCCATAACATTTGGGCTAAGAATTGTTTTTGTTTGTTGCTATGAAGTCAGGATTTTCAATTCCTATATTTCTATCTTGTTAAATTCTTCTTCATTTGCTAGATAGAAGGTCAGCAAATTTTTTCTGCATTGAGGCAGATAGTAAATCTGTGACCCTTAAGGAGACCCCAAAAATCTTGACTACATATTCTTTACTATTATTTTTCCTACAATGTTTTCAAAATTAAAAAAAAGGCACTCTGAGCTTGAGAGTTCTACAGAAGGAGGCTGCAGAATAGTTTTGAACCATAGGCTGTGTTTTGCCATACCTCATTCTATATTATTGAACAAGTTTTTAGATTCTTATTTAATGCAGCATCTCTAACATCTCCAATTTTTATCATGCCCAAATAAAACTGTGATATATTTATTCATCAAAAATATTCAGTAGAGTGAGTTACAATCACAC